CAGCCTCTCACTATCTGACATGGATTTGATCCTTTTAGAGCGTGAACTTTGTCAAAGAAAGCTGCTCTGTGTGTCTGGTACACAGCAGCCATTTCTCATCTGTCCTGTCTGAAACCTCTCAGCTCCAGCTGCCAGCATTGCCAGCACTCCTCCTTGCAGCCAATTCCTGACCATCATTTCAGTGTTACTCTAACACATAACTGTCACATTTTAAATGGTTTCTACAGCCACCACTAACGTGGGGTTCCAGGACTCCCTTAGGACAGTAGTACTGCGTGTGTTCATTTCTGCTAGGTTACCTCAACTTGCACAGCTCATGCAGCCATCTCTACTGTCAAGGTTTAAAACCAAATCCACTGAGAACACACCTTCTTACTTCTAAGGGGCAGAGGCACATGAAAGCTTCTTTTTCACATGAAAGAACACAGCTATAAGCTGATTCTGTCACCTTGCAGCCTCTTCAGCCTCTCTGCTGCCATGTTAGCACAGTGCTTCCATGGAGCTTCTCAGCTGCTGGGCTTCTCAGTGTGGGAACAGCAGTTGCTGCCCTGCTGGGAGAGGTTTTGCAATGCACACCAGGTGCACACAGTCAGGTCGGGTGTCAGATGGTTGCTCTGCTCTCTGTTGCAGGCATCTCCGTCAGCAGCCTGAGCGATAACTTGTTTGTGCTGCACGTGCACTGTGAGGACAACAAACAGAAGGTAGTTGGACTCATCCAGCATTTCTCCAACCATCTCTAGGAACTGTTTTAGAGGCACAAAGAGCAGAAGATCCAGGGTGGAGGTGGGTGGGGGAGAAGCACACGTGGGGGTGTGTGCAGGTGAACGGCCCCACTGTGAACTCACTTTGTGCCATCTTTAAGTAGAATTTCACTTTTTGTGCTCGTAAATGGGATTCACCAGTAACTGACAGGAGTGATCCTGGCTCCCTCTCCCCATTACTGTTACCTTGTAATGGAAGTAACTGCTGTCCATGCAGTGTGACCTGAGAGATGCTTTCCTTGCTAAGCAGTTGGGAGATAGCTCTGTGAACTTCAAAACAATTGTCTTGGTGCAGTCACTGAGAAGCCACAATCACAGGTCATCACTGATTTCCATCCTAGGGAGATGTTGTACTTCAAAGTGACCACGTGATAGAGACGCTCACAAAGACAGCCATGCGGGCAGACAAAGTCAATAACATCAACATCAACCAGGGCAGGTGAGTGAAGCCATGCAGGCCCAGCCCTGGGAGCTGCTTCATTGTTGTGTTGGTTCTGCTTCAGCATTGCAGGGCTACAGGTATACGTGTGTTATCAGAACATAATTACGATTAACTTAGCCTCCATTTCCTTGAGCAAGTACACCTATTGCAATTAAGCACCAATACAGTGAAGCCGCTTGCACTTTCTAATTATGTTTCTTACCTGTTTGTCTCTGTAGCATAAAATTTACAGTTGGTCAAGGCAAAGAAGGCGTCATCGATTTTATATCAGGATCAGAACTGCTTATAGCCAAAGCCAAGAACGGCCATCTAACCGTGGTGAGTGCAGGATGGGATTGGTAAGAAGTGTTGCTCAGTGCATCAGAACCCAGACCTTGTCACTAAGCCACATTCACTGCACACAGACACGTGCCACAGCTTCACACAGCTGAACACACTGCTCTGGTCCAGGAACCCTCTTCCCAGTTGGATTTCTGGGCTTCTCCTGCAGTCCTAGGAGGCTGCCAAGCTTGCTCCAACTCATCAAGTAATTGTCCTATCAATCACTTGGGTTCTTTCACATGATTTTGTCTTTAGCGCAGGACAAGTTTTAGGGGTCTTAAAAACACAAGAACAATTCCTCTTCCCTTTTGGAATTGTTTGTAGTCTTCCTGCCAATCTGATACATGCAGCTGATTTATGCTTGGTCAGATTGAGGCTTGCTCAGAAATGAATCCAGAGCCTCTTACTGCAGCACCAGTGCTGAAAGATCAACTCCCCTGCCCTCCTGCAGGATGACTGCTATCAGAAATGGGTTCAGCATTTCCACCTTGCTCAAACAAATCTGCCCTGTAAAACCCACAAACGCAGTCCTGGCAGAGGCTGTCCCTGCTCCATGGAACATCCACCAGCTCTACACAGGAAGATTAAGTTTGCTTAAGCACTGAAGCGAGGACCACGCCTCTCTCTCCCTTTGCTATCTGTATCAGCAATCCAAACAACTTCCTATACCAAGAAAAAATGCATCATTTTTCCACCAGCCCTTTCAACCCAACCCTAACAACATTCTGCCAGTTCTGCCTCCCTCCCACCTCCCACAGCTCAGTCCTGCAGCACTGAGCACAGGGCGGTTTCCAGGATAACCACAGGATCACTTCTCTCACTTGTTTCCTGCTGAGAGCAGCCAGCTTCATAATTCCCACAGGAGGAGCTTTACGTACCCTTAACATCACCCGTGGCTCATTCTACAGGCCGGTCTTTGGTGAGCTTTAAGGATATTCAGGAGCTAAAGCTGTTGCAGGATCTGTTTCTAGCTTGTCTGTCTTCTCCTGCAGGTTGCACCTCGTTTGAACTCTCGATGATAGATGTGCCACCATCACAGAACCCCTTCTTCCATCTGACTCCACCCCATCCATGGGCTGGACATTGTTCCCAGCAAACCCCCACTGCCTCCCTTGCTTTGCTCATTTTGTTTATTGTTACCAAAGACCTGCACTTTCAGAAAACCCACAAAACGCATCTTGCTTTCTTGTCTTAATACAAAAGTTCCAAAAGAAAGGCCTTCTCTTCCTTACCTTAGTGGCAAACAACACGGGTCCAACATGGTGTCCGTGAAACCACGGTTCACAAAACCTGCTTGGCTGGGCTTTGAGAGGTGATTCTGACTCTATTTGAGTTTAAGCCTTGATGGAAACGACCAAAATTTGTGCTTGAAATCATCAAAAAGCGCAGTCAGAAGAAATGCTGCTCCATCAGCAGTCAACAAAATGCCAAACTTTATATTCAGAGTGTTCTATGAACGATTTTGAGATGTTTTGATGCTTTACGTTACGATATTAAAGCCATATTGTGTAAATGAGTAAAACCCTGTAAATACTTTATAGCTGAATATGAGAGATGTACTACAAGAAACGGCACTGATGTGGAAACTTATGTTTGAGATTTGGAATTTTTGTTGTTTTTAAGTTTACGAACAGACTGTATTAACCTGAGAAACCCATCATGTAACTTCACTCATCTGGATACAGCAGCTTTTTCTTTCTCCTTTTTGCAGTCACCTCTCCCATTTCTTGCTGTACAATGATATTTTTATACTGTAGTACCATAACCACAGCGTGCATCCAAACAAAATCCAAGCACCACAAACTGCAGAGGTCATCACTTCTTCTTGCAGCTCGAGGCTGTAAATGCAACCTGCATCTCAGCCGCAGGCTGTGCACGTGAGCTGTGCTCCTGCCCTTCCCTCACAGCCCATCAAGCTCCGAGAGGCACAAAAACTACTTTTCCCCATCTAAACTTTTCAGGGATAACTGGAAGTTTGAGTTCTCACAGCAGAGCTGCAGTGTCTACCAACACCTCTCACAGCTGCCTTAATGGGGAAGAGATGGCTCCTTCAGTGCACAGCCGGCCATCTTCCCACAAGAGCTGCCAGCACCATTCTGACCCAGAGCCTCCAGGGCCACAAAAACACCCTCGGGTCTCAACCTGCATCACAGAAGTGAACATCCAGCACCTTCATTTAACAACGAACCCCAACAGCCCCACGGTGGGCAGCTGTGTGTCAAAGTCCCAGCTGACAGCACATCGCAGCTCCAGCTTCCCTTCCCAGACGTCCAGCAGTGCATTTTGCACACAGCCTGCCTTACAGATCTTTCACGTGCCACCCCACAACCTGCTGCTGTAGCTCCAGCAGTCACAAAGCCCTGAATAACACGTAACCGAAGGCTGCTGCTGACAGCACCATCAGCTCCATCTCATTCTGTGTTTCTGACATTACAGTTACTGAACACTGCCCAGGCCTGGAATGCTGTATACACTGTACTACATATACACCACATTACTGTATATGCCTATAGTGTATATACTATACAACGCTGTATACGCTACTATATAATCTCCTCAAGATTACACTAAATAAATTTTTATGAAGGAAACTTGTCTTTACCATAGAAGCTGTTTCAGCATGTTTAATTTCGGGAGGGAGAGGGGGGTGATTTCCCTCTGTTCCACACACAACCCTTGGACATCACAGGCCACTGAACTCCAAGTTCCTGGGTCCAAACCACCTCACGGGCAGCATTCCTGCTGCCTTCTGCCACACCGAGCCAAGCACCCCTACAAAGATTCCCAGGGCTTCAGCTTCTTAGGCTCTACATTGACGTGTTTCCCTTCTCCCACTCAACTGCACTGGAAGAGTCGTCCTCTAGAGGCAAGCAAAAGAAACATGAGCAGTGCTTTGTGCACTGAGTTCAAAGGAAACCTGACTAAGTGCTGTGGAGCAGCTCCGACTCCAACTGATGCAATGCAGGCTGTCGAGGAAGCTGGGCTCAACTGTAAACTGATCTCACAGAAGGAAAGCAGTGCTGTTATTCCTCTCCTCTCTTCCCCCCTCTCCAAACGTTCCTATTCAAAGCAACAGAGGAAAATTATTCTTGCTGAAGTAATATAAAGGAAAGTCATAGTAGTATTTGGCATTTTTAATTTAGGTTTGTTTTATTTAAGTTTAATGTTAATTCCATGCTGTGTTTCAGTAAGAACAATACAGATTCTGTATCTGTGGCTCCAGTCAGATATCCAGTAGTACAAATTAGCTTCAAGTTACACATACTGAACAAAAGAGGTTGAGCGAGCGAAGGGAGATGGGGAGGGGGGAGGGAGAAAAGAAAAAATATTGAACACGCATGCAGGCTTATCAATGCCACCTTCAATGCTAACCTGCTTTGAGGAAAAGTAAAGAGTAGGCAAGAATGAGCAGCCACGGATTGTTGAACTGTTACCAGCACCATGTTTTTCAGCAACATTTCAGCAGTTTGGAAGGATTTTTTTTTTTCCTTTTTTTTTTTTTATTACAGTAACCCCACTACAATATACATCCCAATGCAACCTGCAACTTCAAGCTAAACATCCAATTAAGTTTAAACATCGGTATAAAATTCAGTTTAAACAATTATAAAAAAAAAATGCCACCACATGCATGCTACCTCGTGATAAGGAATCTCTCCCCTACAAGTCTAACAGCCTCCAGGTGTCACATCCACTTCTAATGGCCATCACCACGGCTGGCAGGAGACAACACAGTAATGCTGAAAAGCCTTTATGCAGTCCTGTTAGTGTCTTAAAGAACCTAAAAGCTGGCACCAGTAAAATCCACAGAAATTCACTCTTGCCTTTAAGAACTTTTAAACTGTGTAAAAAAAAATAAAAATAAAGAAACCCAACAGGGCAGGAACCTAAATTCTGAGACCCAATGTAAAAGTCAGATTTGGTGGTTCTCAGAGTGACACTGAGGGTTTTTGTGGGGAGGGGGGAAGGGTGGTCAGAGATGGGTTCTCTTGTTGGCCTTTGTGTCTCACTGGTTTTCATCTTCCACATCCTGCAGCGCTTCTTTATTCTGTTCTTCACCTATGGAAGCATTTAGAAGTAAGGAAGAAGTTAGCTCCTAAAAATGAGTCCTGAAGAAAGCCTTAACAAGCGCCTAAGATTAATACTTCCATGCAATTCCACACTCACTCACACTTGCACAAACGACACGCGCTCATAACAGCCAGTTCTGGAGCAAAGCTTCCATGGGCATTAAGCCTTGGATCCAACTGGTCACCCTTCATCCCATAACTGCAGCGCCATGAGAACACGCTGTTGTGAGGACAGACAAGGAACCAGCACCCTGAAAGCTGTGTGCCATCAGCCCTGGTGCTGAGCAGGAGATAAACAGCAGGATGGAAACCATCAGAGCAGCTGCAGGTCCTTTAATCACAGAACGCTTTCCTATGGAACCCCATTTCTACTCTGGGGATCCCTAAGGACATCTCACCAACCAGCCACCACAAACTGTGCACCAAAAACACCAAAGAACGCCAGTATTTTTTCCTAAGCCCACTCAGCCTCAGCAACTGCAACTGACTGCAGTCCAGTTTACAGAATGGCACCAGTGACAGGTGAACAACCTTCCCTGCTGTAAAATCCAACATGACAAGAAATCCTGGGCTTGAGGTGATTAAGAATGCTTTGTGGAAATTCGTGTCCTATGGAAAAGCAGCCGGTTTGGACCTGTCCAACCAGGCTGCAACATGCAGTGCAATGGAAGCCCACCCTAAGGGCTCAGGCAGGAGGTGCATGCAATGCTCACAGCCCTGCCTCAGCAGGGAGAGGTTACCATACTGCAGCTGTGGCCACAGTGCATGCAACATTAGGCTAACTGACTGCAGACTGAACAAATGCTTTCTTCACAACGATCCTCAGCCAGGTGACACAGCACTCTCTTAAAGGCACACAAACAAGAACTGTCCAAAACATGATTTGCAATGAAACCCACTCAGATGAGACCAATGACTTTTAGTACATCATCCGAATGCCTGCTCAGAGCATATCCAGATCCACAGTTCCACCAGGCACAACGCAAGGCACACTTTGGGAGAGTGGCCTCCTGCTCTGGCAGAGGGGCTGGACTAAGATGATCTTTTGAGGTCCCTTCCAATCCCTGACACTCTCTCCACACAGGCTACATGGCGTTCAACAACAAAATTTACATTTAGAACTACAAAAACAGGTTGTCCAAATGAAGAATGCCAAGGCCCTAAGCAAAGATGACGATTAGAAGATCTGAGCATGCTCTAGCCAATGCACTTAAGCAAATAGTCCTGTAACAGGCAATAGTGGAAGTACTTTTCATGCCTAAATATTCTTAATATTCCATCCAGGTACGCAGCTCAATTCCCAAACACTGGGGTTACGTTGGAACTTAGTTACACGTATCAGACCTGAGCTACAGCTCAGAGATCAGAACATCGCTCAGCCCTGGGATGGAGCCCAAGATACAAGCAGTTGTCAGCAGCAAAACAGTGACAGAGGCAAGCATGATTAGTGATCAGAGGAAAACTGAGGCTGCAAAGCTCATTGAGCCATGACAAGGACTTACAAAGTAGACTTTTTAGGAAAAGAACAGTTGGACTTTCCTTTAGGAATCTATACAGCAGGAAAGAAGGGGAGAACAGGAATCATATGAAGACGACATCACAAGCGTGGAAGTAAACTGAACAGCTCGTCTATGGCAGGGGGAAACATGGTGCACGAGATGAAGAGGTGCAGCAGCTGAGCAATGCTCCACTGCAGGATGTCACTGCAGCCTACACCACTGAACCCGAGGTGGGCAAAACGATCAAAAGGCTTTTTGGAAGTCACCACCACCCCTCAGGAAAGCAGTAACAGCGAGCACCTTTCTGAATGCCACCATTAACGTCTGCCTGTACTTAAAGGCTCCAGGCCACTCTGGGACACTGAGTTCTGGAAGTAACTGCTTCAAATGCACTCCGTGCATCCACTGCATGCTGTCAGAAAGCACAGCTTGGCACCTCCATGTGTGCACATCACTCAAACACTGCATTCTTTGGGAACTTGAGCTGCAGAAGAGTTTTAAGCAGTTCTGCAGTATTTGCAGTTTTGTAATCAGTCCTTCTGGAATGCACCATGCACAGTAACAACACGATTCTGAACTGCTTCAGAACAACAGAAACACTGGTTTTCTGTGCTACAGAGCTAATGATGACATGAGAAATCTGAACGTGGATTATGCAAAAGAGGTATGTAAAGAGCCTCTGCAAACAGTTACATTTCTGTGGTATGAAATGAAATGTCACACAGCTCACATGCAGTTACTTCTGGAAGATGTTCCAGTGCTATTACCTCACATCAGCCATCCAGCCTTGTGAGCTGTGCTGAAATTTCTTTCCCAGTGCCTCAGCACAGCAAGGAAGGCACCTAACAGCACTGCAGTGTTACAGCAGTGTCTCTGCTGATCCACCTACAGTAGGTGGAAGCCCAAAGAAAACGGGGTAACATTTTAACTGCAGCATCCACATGGTAACATGCAGGAAGTCTGCAATGCTACAGCTGCTTTCAGGGGGATACAGCACTGGACAGAGAAGCCCTCTGACTACCACCATGGTACAAGTAATGTCTTAAATAAGCATCCTACAGTTTTATTTAGGATCTGAAGTCAAGCTGCAATGTTGTTCCAGACCTCTGAGTATTTAAGTGTGCAACATGCTTCCAGCAGGACTCACATTCTTCTCTTAAGGTAAAAGAAAAAACAGCGTTTTTGAAAACTTCTTCCCAGAACTTTTTTTTTTTTTAAACAAACAAAAAGCACAACTTCTCTCTCTTGATAAAGTTGTTTAAACTGCCAGAAGTGGACAAGGCAAACGATGCAATTTACACCTGGCACTGTATGCCAGAGTCTAAGAGAAAAAAGCCTCCTTAGGACCAAATAACTGCCAGCTGTCAGTCAGCAGCGCTCCCTGCCCCATGCTGGGGACACTCAGTCTCTGCTCTGGCAATGCCCTCTGTGGAGGCACAAGCCTAACATCTGCTGGCAGTACTTCAAGAAGGAAAAGCTTTTCGAACATCCAAATATCAGAAGTGACCTGAGAAGGAACCAGACCACTCACAATACTTCCTCCTGCACTGGACATTCATATCTGGTTGAAAGGGGAACTGGAAGAGGAACGTGACAAGCCACTAACGAAACAGACTAATTAAGCCACTGCTTTTAAAATAACCACTGATGTTTACAACATTACTTATCTCACACCTTTAGCTGACAGAGTTTCCTTGTCAGTGTTTTTACTGCTGCCATTCATGATGTAAATATTTTCTAAATGTTTTCTGGGCAAGAATGAGGAGAGGCAGGAGTTCAGAGCTGAGCTCACTTACCATCACCCTGCATGTCTGAAGTCCATAGTGTCAGGTTATCACGTAACAACTGCATGATAAGTGTAGAGTCCTTATAGCTTTCTTCACTCAGCGTATCCAGTTCTGCAATAGCATCATCAAAAGCTGCTTTCGCCAACCTGTAAGCACAGAATAAATCCAGTTTAACATCAACTAAGAAAGGGAATTCAGAAGCCTACACACCGAGCCCATTACTCAGAGCACCCATCTTCTAGTTGGCTGTATGACAACCACAGCCTCTATGACTTTTTTCTTCTTCAAAACTGACTACTTTGTGAGCCTAAGAACAGTTCTGACTCAATCTATGTTTCCTTAAACATTACTACACCCTGCAGCGCTGCTGTTCGCTAAAAGCTTTAAGAAAGTATTTACCTAACCTGCAAGGACAGGTCTGAAACACTCCATTTGCTTTGTTCCTCATTTTCATGCCCATGCAAACTAAATCCCTAAAGATAGATGAGATCATAATTCTGTAGATGTCACTCATTTCCGTGACCACGACCTCTCCTACGTTGTGTAAGACTTGTTGAGGAGCCAGCAGCAAGAGTCAAGTTCAGTTACACCTCTTGAGGATGAGGACGTGCACAGTTAACGTGCAAGCTGTCAAGCTGCCACTGGTTCACTGATCCAAAGTTAATGCTGTTCTGCTTCCCCAGTAATCTACTCTCAGATAAACAAATGCATATGGGCTGAAAAGGGAAAGCTGAAAGCCTTAACCTCAAACAAAGCAAGAAAAAAGCCAGCCCAGTGTTTGAGTTAGAAGACATTACACCCAGCTGGGAATCACATTCAGCTTGTTGAGCATTCACAGAAAATCCCCCCATCTTCTCAGTCACCTGCAGGCACGATCAGGAGAATTAAGAATTTCATAGTAGAATACAGAGAAGTTGAGGGCAAGTCCTAGGCGGATAGGATGTGTTGGTGGGAGTTCTGTCATTGCAATATCACTAGCAGCCTTGTAAGCCACCAAGCTGTTCTCTGCAGCCTCCTTCCTGTCATTTCCTGTGGCAAACTCAGCCAGATACCTATGGTAGTCCCCCTTCCTGAAAGCAAGAACAGAACAAACGAGAACTCGTTAGTCTTTACTTCCACACCAGCCACAAAAACTGCTTAGTTCCAAAATCTATGTTATACATTTACGCAGTAAGGGATGTTACTGCTGAATTACTGTCCAGACCTCGGGGCCTCGGTGAGTTTCAAGCCGAGGTTTGAGCAGGAAAAAAATATCTGCATTTAATTTCTGTTGCACTGGCACAGAAGTCACAGTACTGTTCTCCCCATGACCCCCCTGTGCAGCTGTACAACTGCACCTCAACTAATAGCCAGGTTTTGTTAAACCTGCAGCAATAGGGATACCTCAAATAGAGGGGATCATTTAAAGACACTTCAAGATTGGACGATCACAGCTCATACAAGGAAGCACTACAGCAGAGATGAGACCCTGTATTACCTCAGAGAAAATGGTTAGTACACTTCAAATCTGCACAACAGCTCCTGAGAAGCTCTGAGCATCTTGTTCTGAACTGGCCTAAAGCTCCTGTCTGCCACCAACACCCCAAAAGCAGACAAAAAGGGATATTCATTACACACAACTGAACTGCCCTCTTCCAGGAAGAAATTACCATCCTCAACTGTGCAGAAAAACAACCATTTGTAGCCACTGTACTCTTGTTATCTATTCCAGCTCCAACACGCAGCCCTCGCCTCGCATGGCAACACTTACATTTTGTAATAGAAAACCTTGGACTCGCCAGTGTTAGCTGCTGGAATGAGGTGTTTGTCCAGTACATCCAGAATGTCACAACAGATTAACTTCAGTTCAGTCTCAACCTAAAAAGAAAAATAACCACAACGAGGCAAGGTCAGCACTGAGACTGAAAGGCTGTTGCAAAAACAATATCAAACAGGTGACAGAAATCCAAGGAGGGGGAAAACAAAAAACAGAATAAAAATTCAGCTGTCCACAGGTACATTAAACAAAAACAGCACGGGGCAATTAGCTGGGACACAGAGGCAAGGACTGATGGATGATGAAATGCATAACTGAGTAACAGAATCACACATTCCCTGGAAAACATCTTGCTGGACAGTTGCATTACGTCTGTCTCAGCATATCGTTCCTCACTGCAAGACTTGCACAACCAATGCCTCACAGTTCTGAGCCTGGAAGGCTGCCCTGAGGTGGTAATGGTGGAGGGGAACAATCAATGCTCAACTCCATCTCATCCTTGGGTTAAGCTGCACATTCACAACAGGTTGTCACTGCCCACCTGGGACACACAGTCTAACAGAGAGCCCTACAACAAAAACCTGTAATAACAGATCAAAAGTGTCAGACAGAAGAAACAAGTCCAGAAAAAATACAAACTTCAGGAGCAGGTGATAAAACAAGCAAAGCACAGCAAAAACCATAAGCACTAACAGCAAGGTCAGCAACAAAGGAAAACCAATAAAGTCTTATATGAGGACTTTAACAGCCACGGATGGAAACGGCCACATCACTTCTTCTTCCTGATTTAAAATATAAAGCAAGGGTTACAAGGCTGGTTTCTACCATAGGAAGTGTCACACTTGAAAGCAAAGAAATGAAGCACCTTCAAGAAAAACAACCTAAAAACTGTCTCGGCACATCAGCATTGCCCACAACAGATTTGTTCCAAGCATTCCTTGTTACTCGCAGTAGGAGGGGTTGGCAAAGTGCACAGCAACCCCCCGCTGCTCTCTCACAATTCAGCACTAACTTGCACAGTAACAGCTAGAGACAACTTTGGCTCAAGCCACTGTTAGGTTCCGTAAAGCAGAGGTTTTCAAGGGAAGGCATCAACATCAGCTTCAATGAGCTGCCCCAGGAGTTGCCCATCTCACACCACAGGCAGCCACTGCCCTTCTCAGCCCTCCACCATGCAGCTTTCTCTCACACAGCGATGCTCTCACCATGCAGCATCACTGCAGAGCTCCCAAACCATCACGGTCTGTACTCACATCTACCCTCAAGAGCTCTCGAGGGTGCAGATCTCAAAGCAGTTAAACTGGCACATTCCAACTAAGTTACAGACATGGAAAAGCTCCTTTAGGTAAATTCATCTGCAGCAGATGTCTGTGTAAACAATGTCGGGATGCCCCAACACTCAAGGGGAGAGTTAACTGCTATACTTAGTTACGTGACAAATGCTTAAGGAAGTTGCTGAAATATGGTCACTTGAAGTATCTACTTCATATATTCTTGTGCTACAAAAGCTATAAAACCTTTGCCAGCAGTCAGTTCCTGCAAACTTCTTTCCTCTTGATCCTCTTTCTCAATGACTTCTTTTGCAGAGATCTTCAGCAAAACTGCAAAGAATAAATCAGTTTCTGATCTTCTTTTGTTAAACCACACATTTCATTTCATCTCAGACCTTTTTCAGCTGTGTTTCAAAGATCACTCACATGAGTTACCAGAGATCAGCTGCTGGCCAGCACACTGTGTTAAGAACAAAAAATAAACCTCCCACCCCACCCCACTCCCCTCTCCCCAAATCCTAAGAGATCTTTTATAGAAAGGATCTTCACTCAGACTGGATCACTGAGCTTTGCAAAGCCAGCACGGGAGCCCACACTACACCCGTGCAGAGCGCTCGGAACAGGCAGTTTTACAGCTCAAAACACAACACACAGAACTACAGGCTCTGACTGGCAAGGAGAGATGGCTCATCCCAGTAGGTGTGCAGTGGTCACTACTGTGCCTTCCTTTAATAGCAGTGCTGGTTTAAGCAGATTTCAGATTGTGTTCTCAGCTCTGCAGGTACAGAGCCCTGTAAACCACCTGGCGACTGCAACAAAGAAACTTACTGGAAACCACCAGGAGGTCAGGGCCTGCTCTAATTCCTTGCCCTAGTTCAGCATTTAGCCCACAGAAGAGCTGTGCCTCATAACTGGGATGCAGCATGAAACCAGTGCAGTAGGCAGCAGCTGCTGAAACCTGTGAGCTGCCTTCCTCCTTGTGCCCCTGAAAAACAAAGAGCACATCAACACACAGCCTAACGTGCAGGCTATGTATGAAGAGGCGAAGGCAGCCCTGCAGCTTCCCCAAAACACAGCCCAGCTTGCTAAACACAAGCACTAAAACACACGTAAATACAGACCTTAAGGGGGAGGGGAACACTTGGCCTATGCTATTAGTGAAGGGATTTGGTCTTAGAGCGAGGATGTGAGCTGCACCGTCTGCAAACACACGCTGCTTCATCCGCTCAAGGACAAGCTAAGAAAGCCTGTGTTCTCATCCACAGAGATGCAATGGAGCCAGGAACTCCACTTCTGCACATCCACGTGGCCACACGCCCAAAATAAAGCAGGAATCACATAGGCAGCATTTTTTCCACATGGCTACGATGCGTTCTGCTACATCTGCCTTAACATCTCACACCATCACCCCTTGAGATGCTTCCCAAGTCATACTGGCTCGTAACTTAAGGTCTATGGAGTCTGAACACAACCAAGAACTGTTAAATTATAACAAACACCAACACAGAAAAGAAACGTCCATTACTTGCACACAAACTACATCTTTTATTTCAACTCAAGCAGCAATTTCTGGCTGTGCCAGCCCACCTCTGGGTCTGGTCACAGGGGAGGATTTCTCCACCAGTGCTCCTGTCCACTCCCCAGTACTTTAACCTTGGCCTGCTGGTCCCCCAAAAAAGCACTTTTTTCCCCCTTCTTCTTCCTTGAAGTCTTGCAAGCACAGGAAGGATCTCTTAACAACATTCAATTTAAAATGAGAAATGAAGTAGCAGTATGTATTTGTTGACATGACAGGTAGTAAGCAAGATAACCCCAACTCTCCAGACCTCACCTGCTCCCCCAGGCACTGAGTATGACAGCAGGGCAGTTCTGCAGCTCTCATGCTCTCAGCAGCGAAAAAGAGAAGCTGCACCCAAAACTTTGCATATATTCTTTAGGCCCTTATTGCTCAAATTCTGTCTTGACCAACCCATTAATGCTCTCCACGTACCAGGTAAGTCTTCCAGTAACTACAAACAGGACTTCAGCTACAGCCAACAGCACGAGCCTCCGGGGCACCCAGGCCAGGCAGGCAGACACATCTGCTCTTTCTTCAGCATGGAAATGCACTCCTGTGCTCCCCACTGCATTCTTCCACCTAAAGCCTACAGCACCCAGAAGGACCTGTGATGGCTCTTCCTTGAAAAATTTAACAGATGGAAGTACTGTTGCACAGCAGTGCACTCTGTGTGGCCCGTACATTTATCTCAATGCACTACTTCAAGGACTGCATGCATTTCTTGCTCGTCAGTCTGCTCTGCACAGCACTTGCTTGCTTTAAATAGAAATGCAGAACAATGTATTCTACAGACATCCAGAGACAATGAAAAGTCTTCTCACTATTAAAGGATCTCTGAAAAGATAATGAACTGCCCACAAAATGTTAAGCAAAGGGAAAAAAAACCACCAAAACTCGAAAGCATGAAGTTTAAAACAAATGATACTGCCTTAATTTATATGCTCTGCTAGGAAGACTTCAGATACCATCAAAAAACGGTATTTGGGACTGTATGTAACTGGCAGAGCTTCACCCCATCAGCACGCCAGTATAAAATTAGAAACTCCGAACTTGAACAATTCCATGGAGCAAACAAATGCTATGAGTCAAAAGAAAGCAGTCCAGAGCCATTCTTCAGAAGAGTTCCAAGCCAACATCGTTTCCACTGACAGTGTACGAATCAGTGCCAGGTGGTTAAAAGAGACACTCCACTGTTTCTCTGCAAGTGAAGATGGGAGCCGTGGAGGCAGTGATCCTGCAGGGATGGATCTGAAGGCTCTGCAGAAACGCGTCGGATTTCATTTCTACAGGAGAACGTCTGCTCCACATTAAAGCATCACTTAAGGAGGCCAGGGTGGGGGCAGGAACAGCTCCCTGTTCTAACAGCCGAGCGTTTCATTAGCCCTCACTGATGAAAGGCTAAGTTCGCTCCAAGTTCTCCATTTTAGGTAAAGCTGCACAGGCTGACTAGACTCACCAGTCAGTTATTTCCATCTATTCTTCCCCCCTTTCTGAAGGAAGAAAATAGCAAGGCCCTACAGCTCACTACACATCCAAGTTTCACAGTTGAGATGACCACAATATCTTAATACTCCCTGTTCCTACAAACATGGGAGTGCTTAAACTTAAGGGATACAAACCCAGAGTCCAGATTTTTTTTTAGCTAAATGGCACTGTGCTCCAGCACCAACAAATCTTACCATTTGCCGATATTCCCGAATCATTTTTAATTTATCTTCTCCTCCTTTGTTTTCTTCTTTCTGTTCAATGCTGCTGATTATTCTCCAGGAAGCTCTTCTGGCTCCAATCACGTTTTTATACGCAACAGAAAGCAGGTTTCTTTCTTCCACTGTCAACTCCACATCCATTCCAGCCACTTTCTTCATTGATTCAACCATTTCTAGGATGAAAAGGTCACGCAGTTATTCTCAACATTAAAACATCTTTCAAACCATTCAAGAGAAGCTGTGCATTAATGATAACTTGTCAAAATAGGCTCCCTCCTCCTTTCCTACAGTTACACCTTGTTTTTACAGAGGAATGCTCCAAACAAGGCAGTGAGCACCCACACAAAGGAACTGCCTGACACTCTTTGAAGTGCATTTGACAGGGGCACCCAAAACATTCCTTAAAGACAGTTTGAGACACAAACAAAACCAGCTTAGCAGAAGGATCCCATGGAAGCAAAGCAGCAAGAATGCTGCCATTAGGGAAGAAAGTCGAAGTTGCAAGTGGAAACCATCAGAAGAAAAATTAACTGCTTGGAGAAGTGACAAAAGAGCCCTCCTGAGGATAAGCAGAGCAGCACCACCTAGCCATGCCACACAGCTGCTTGCACTGGAAAAATAACACGCTGAATGTAACTCGTATTTATAGCTTAAACCATTTAGAAAAGACTTCCAAACCTCAGGTGAAAAAAATGATTCCTATATACAGCTTTTCTATATCCAAATGAAAGTAAAAGCCTGAACTACTTAAGGAAGGCTTTAATCCTTTCATTACCTCATCACATTATGATTTCCTATGACACAACAGAAAAATAAAGGCTGAAATTATTACCTATGAGCTGAGAGCCTGGTCTGAGCTCCCAGAAGCCCTACGTTATCTTCTGCCAAAGAGTGCTTCAGCTCATTCAACCTTTACCTTTCACCTTCTAGAGCAGATGAGAATCCCACAGACAGGAAAGCCATTAATGAGAGACCGAGCCCTCAGCAGCACACTAACCCTACCTACATCACATCCTCATCCTCCTGCACCCCCAAACATCCACGTGTTCTGCAGTAAGAAGCAGCAAGTGAATCTGAACTGTCATTCCCTCTTCCCATCAGGTGCCAAAACTCATCACCTTTGCAGGCAGAAGCCATTTCAGTAATAGAACTCTAGCCTCAATTTTCTCCCTTGCAGGAATGCTGTTATCAGTCTCCAGCAGGCTGCCATATATGCAGGACAATTTAATAGCAGCTCTGTTCTCATCAGGAGAAAAAACAGCCCTACCTCTAGCAGTACATTCTGCTGCTCCAGCTCCTGAAGTGACGAAAAGTGATGCTTTCAAAAAGTCATCCTAAACCACTCTTTAAATCCAGTTAACATAAGCACAGTCTTGTAATTTAAACTAGCCAAGTTCAAAGCAGTACTACACAGTTACAGCAAGCAACTTAAACAGCGGATGCTCTAGGATTTATTTCCTAAAGAATGACCCTGCCATCTACTCAAATCACTTGAAAACTTTGATTTTTTTCCTTAAACTATGAGTTCTGTGCTCAGATTTTGATGCTCCTTATGCAGCACAGGTACATTCGAGGCAGTCTGCCTGCCTCAGCGTTTGCTCTTGTGAAGGACAACGAACACAAATGAAGACTTGCAGTCCCTGCTAGTTGGTACCTCTGTCAAGCTTCAGCAAGAACCATACGGCTCGTAGTTTAGCTTAATGTTTAACTGCCCTCAGATAAGAAAAGTAATTGAAATAGTACTGCAGCTTCAGCTTGAGAGATTAACCTGTGAATGTAGCTGCCACTGCAGCCATGAATGCACAGCCCTCCTTTCACTCGATAGTCACAGAAGTTCATGAGCTGAAGAAATATCCTCTAGAAAGTGGAGACCACAGAGGAGGTGGAGATGCTGGGCTCTTCATCTTCCATGCTCACTTCCAGGCATCCACCATCAGTGTGAAGATCTTTGTTCTGATGGAAATGACCACTATCCTTTAGCCAAACATGCAGTGTCCAAAGCTCTGCATCTCTTTACACGTTAGTGTGATGTATGTAGATAATTAACTGCTCCAGAAACATGGAGGTGAGAAACACGTACAGCAAGTTTCTGGACTCTACATCCTTGAAAAATGAAGGAGCACACCTGTACATTCACCAATTGGGAAAAAAAAAAGCAGCCTTATTCTAGACCAAGAAATATTCTATACAAAGACATGGCCACAAGCAGAACAAGTATTTTGTATTCTAGGTGCAGCTTCAGCTGCCTGGAAGATCCTACGCAGAGATGAAAAGCTTGGAGATGGTTCATGACAAAGAACAAGTCTCAGATTACATCTCAGTAAGAAGGATTATGGCAGCAATGACAACTCACTGCACATCCCATCTGAAGATGTTAATGCTGCATTAGAGAAGTAGCAGCGTTGCATGGATTCCAAAAGAGCTCGTAATTAAGCCTCGTGGCTGTCACCATATTATACCACTGTCACATCGTGCCACAATCAGAGCAGGAAACCCCCAAAGTACAAATTGAGAGGGCAGGAGAATATTCTGGAGATCTACAGCCTTCTGTCCTTCCTCAGGCCTCTGCCATGGGCTGGTTTTGAAAAGTATTACAAGAAACGAACATTTCTGACTCAGCAGGTAATTCTATTTACATATTTTATGGGGGAAAAAAAAAGCATTTCAGAGAGACACAACACTGCCTGTGCCTCCACAGCACAGCACACCAAACCAATGTGGGCACTGTTAGTCATCTGTCCCTAACACTGCCAGGACCACGGCTGGCTGTGGCAGCACCGATGTGCTGACTGACCTGCAGCCACATGGAGGACACACAGGACGCAGCCACAGCCTGAGCAGCACCAAGAAATAGGGCAGAGGCTGCCACACTGAGGGCTGCTACCTACAGGAGGGTGCATGCCATGGGGCTGGGCCTTCTGTTTTAGAGAGGAGGAAGATTACAGCTTTAAGTCCCAAAATACAGAGTTTGGTGTGCCTGTGAATCACAATGAAGCTTTTTAAATCCCTTAAACAGAACTACAGTTTTTCTACCTTTTCCAATAGGTAGAGGAACAGCCAAAACTGAAGTTTTAAATGCTGAAGGTGTATCCATTTCTTTAAAAATAAGTATATATATATATAGATAGATATATAGATATAGATATATAGTCAAATGAACTGATCTAAAACACAGTGCCTTGAAAGCACAACCATGGAACAAGAACAATACAATGCAGTAGTGTACTTCTATGGGAGGACTGCAATCCATCACAAAGCAGAGAAGCCTCCAGAACAGACAACCCTTGTGCAAGAAATAAAGCCATTTGCTTTAAATGCTAATGGACCCACACAAAGCCACAAAGTTAATTTAGTGTGCACTAAAAAGTAATGGGGGAAGTTTAGAAGAGTTAAGAAGCACAGCACTGACAGCCATCTATTAGGGCACAAGTGATGAGGAAACATACAGAACAAAAGAGCGAACATCTCTTTATCAGGGGGAAAAATAAAGACACACTCCAACTATTTTCTGTTCCTCAAACTCCAGAAGTCCCAACAATTCAGGAACTGGAGCATCCTTGTGTAAAGAATAGAAGAAGGCAACACGCTGCACATTTTCTGGAAGAATTACAAGCTTTTCCAAACAGAATCCAACATTTAACAGCAGACCTTAGGAAGGAGCAGCACTGTGCATCAAACAACACCAGAACAAACCTGACAGCATTATCATCTATGCTACTCAGACTGAAAATGCAAGTCTAGGTCAGTAATTAACACAAGTGGCAACAGAAACCACTTGGCCTGAGCTATGGCTGATGGGGGAAGACAGTGCCTCTTAGCTCACCTGTGTTCACCACAACCAGTATTTGCAGTACTGGTAAAGGCACGACCCAAACACAGCCACCAACACACCAGAAGGACCCAGAATGCAGTACCTGATCCTCAACTCATGCATGTTCTCTAAGATTTCAGCAGCAGAAGGAAGAAGGCTTTTAAGAAACGTGCCAGCAGATATTAAAGGAGAACTGCTATTAACGTAACACTTCCAAGTGCTCAAGAGCAATTATTTCATTAAAAAAAAATAATGAGTGGATCATAAATGCTATATTGAAGAGCATGGCTTTCTGTAAGTGCACACAATGCCCCACAGATCCACTCTGCAGCTCTGAGCAAGTCACACCCATGGACAAGGAGGACACGAGGGATTCAATCTACCCAGATTTCCTCGAGGCATTTGCCAGGGCCCCTCACCGAGGTTCTTTAACGAACTCTACTGCTATCAGATACAGATCAGATCCTCCCACGGACGGACACTTGGCTGAAAGAGAGCAAACGGCATGAATACAGGCTCAGTGCTCAGAGCAGAGTAAGATCACCAGTGGAACCACACAGTGATCACTGCTAGGAAGTATGCTAGCGTTTGTAAGTGGATCCAGAAAAAAAAGAATGTTCAGTACTAATTTAATAGTCAGAGCAAATTGCTAAGAGCAATAAAGACCAGAGAGCAGGAGAAATAATGGCACATGTTTTCCCTGTTAAGTGATGTGTAACCATGAGAACTACAGCCTATAGATTCCATTCTCTCCAGACGTGCAGCCCTCTGATCCATTTGATATCAGCAGGCACCATCCTCCTCACTGCAGTCATCAGCTCCAAATCCAAGGCAACAGAAACTAAGATTTTAACTGCCTGTGCATCCCAGACAACTCCAACATTTGACTGTACGACTCTGCACCACACAGTTCTGCAAACCACTTGTAACTACTTTAATGCTCTTGAAGATAGACATGATCTAGGCCAAATAATCCAAGTAACAGTGGCATTTTCTGCACAATCAATCCCACAGACTACCAACACAATTTCTAAGTCATTTCTACATCTTCAAGTTGGGAAGATGTGTTTTCCTAGAACAAAGAGGACTACTAACAAGAGTCAGTTTGAAAGCAGACACAGGCAAACACAAGGGCTGAGTTTCATCACACGTTTCAGTTTGACTGAGATCTGCTACTACAGTCTCCTTACACAAGGACTTGAGCAAGTTAGTGGGCACTACCCAGTATGTGGCCTCCCTGCAGAGCACCAAGCCATCTAAGTTTGGATGCTCAACACTTCTGGTATCTCAGAAGCTTCAGGAAGGAAATTATGGAGGGTCTTCTCACAGAACTCTGCTGGGAGAGGTGAATTACACCCCTTAGACACATGTACATTATTTACCTGAAAGAGGACCACTGCACACTGAAAATAATGAACAACTTAATCATTAATCTGTGTCAGAAATGAGAACTTGATTCTTCATCAAGCTGTAACTGCAAGTCCTGCTACCATGAGCCAACTCATTCTACAGCATGTTCAGATCTTGGATTCAGTGTACTGCAGCACACCTTACTGCCTTCAGAGTGAAGGCTTGCTTTTCTGGCAGTGAGTTAACAGCAACATGGGAGTTACATGTTGACTTGCTGTGCTGGGAATCAGAAGAGCTGCCAATTATCTTCTTCCCAGCTGTAAACTGACCTATTATCCTCACCTACTTCACCCTGGGTAAATTTCAAATCATGTATTTCAAGATCTGTGGCACAAAACTGCTAGCAGGACTGAAGCACCCACAGTGTTCACCCAGAGCTTACCTTCTATCCTAGCATGCTTCTCAACTGATGAGAAGAAAGGTGCTACCTAGCTTCTGCAACGGAGAGTTAGTTTTGACATTCAGCAGTCCGTGAGAACGCAGATACATACAATCTCTTGATGTAAGAAAGTAAAACGTTAGTAAGGTGATTTCATAAACCAACGCAGTTTTATCTACTCCAGTTGTTCCCCAGAAAAGACATTTCATACATATATTATACTATTGATAACAGTCTTTGAAGGAACTCAAGAGGGTTTTCACACAGAGAGTGGTGACACACTGGAACAGGTTGCCCAAGGAGGTGGTGGATGCCCCATCCTTGGAGGCACTCAAGGCAACGTGGCTCTGGGAGCCCAGTCTGGTAGTTGGCAACACTGCACATAGCAGGGGGTGAAACCAGATGATCACTGTGGTCCTTTTCAACCCAGCCCATTTTATGATTCTGTGAACTGCAGGTAAGTATGATTTGTCACAAAGCTTACTCTAACACAAGTAAGCTTCCTGGCATTTTGTGGTCTGTCATGACATGCCTAAGCAGATCTGTAAAGATAGTCAGACACCCAGATCTCTCACTATCTCTAGAGATCACAGCTTAAGCGTTATTTACACTGCAAAAGCACCCAAGAAAGATGTCCTCTTAATCTGGGCCAATGTACCCAAGGGCTGTGCAGGCACAGGACTAGATTCCCAACAACTCGCAGGCACAGCTTGCAAGCTTCAGAACTTAAGTGGGTCATGTAACTAAAAAAAAACAAAAAACTTGTTAGATGCCTACCTTAGGAGCTGCCTTAAATGCCATGGATCATGGCTGTTCTAAGCACACAGCATGCTGAGTCTCAATGAGAAAGATGGGGCAGAACGTAATGCTATCCTAACATTAAACATTAAAAATTGTCATTTTACATTCATATTCAAGTCGCAGAACAGGTTTCTATTCCAGCATATTTGTAGCCAGTACTTACCATCAGTAGCATCTGAAAGTTATTAACTGTTACCTCACCATCACGTATCTCAAAGACAGAGCTAAAGAACAAAACTAAGCATCACTTCACTTCCCCACACCTTTTCATTCACAGTGAGCAGCCTCAGCAGGAACGCAGTATTTCATATAAATGAGAACAAAATATACTTTTCATTTTTTAATTGGTTCCAACTGAACAAGAACACGGAATTAGATGCTAAACCTGCACCTACAGTACATATTTTTCAAGGCCAGGGACGTGAGAAAGGAGGACACCTTTAAGAGAATTAAGGGATGCACCTTAAATCTGTTGACTCAACTCGAAGCCAACGAATTCTGCAAGTCTAAAACCCACAATATTGCTTTAAAGATAAGAACACTAAATTTATCATCACCTCCTCAGTGATAATGTTCTCGTTGCCATTCAGAAGCCACAAGCCTCTGAATTCTGATCTAGCCAATTCATTCTGCAAACATCCATGGGAGCACTGGGATGGAAAGCCCTGACAGAAATGCCACACAAAGGCAATCTCTACCAACCCTTTCTTTTTCGTCAGGAAATCAGGCTGTGTTGTAGATTGCTATGATGGGGTGGGATCTGATTACTTTCCAAAGTGATTTACCATTTATCTAGGAAAGCATCAGACAGTTACACCTCAAAAGCTCCCAAAGATGATTAACCCCCCAGACAGCTGGTTTGGGGTTCCAATCAAACCACAGCCAGTGCTCAGTGCTGCACTGACGCTCACCTGTACCAGGTGGACAAACCTTCCCCCACCCCACACACAAACACTCAACTCCAGCAATACTGCTTTGTGGTCTTTGTGGAAGATGGCAGCAGGGAGAACAATGCACCTTCCCATCCCACACTGCCAAGGAGACAAAAAAAACCAAACACACCCCAAATCTACAACCCCCTCCTCAACCACTTGTACCCACAGATGTTGCTCTCCTATTATGAGCTGCATCTTACTTGCAGAGGTGGACCTCAGTCACCCCACAATACCAGGTTTGGGGGGCATTTTTTCCCTTTAAGCCACTACATTAACAGTGAGGAGACTATTTGACTGCTGTCACCCAGTGGGATTCTTATCCCTACCCTACTTCCTACCAGAACATTCACTGCAGATGGTCTTAATTACTCCTTCCTTCATTTGAGGTTCTGTTTTCCTCCCCAAAATGTGTATTTCTCAGATGTTTTGGAATCACATTATCAGAAGGTTTCTAAGCAATAACTCGGAGAACAATGCCTAATTCTCACCAGCTGACTCCTCTGCTCTGCGAAAACTGTGACCAACTCAAGAATCCACAGCATCTCCCTACTTCTAAATGAAACCTAACTGTACTCACACCCTATACACATACTTGTGTTTCTTCCACTTGAAATGCATAAACACGGGTCTGAGGGCAGAAGGAACAATCCCAGATGATTAACACCACCGAGAAAATTAAAGGCCCTTTCTGCTATAGGCAAGAAAAGCACCTTGAAGGGAACACTCACACGGCAGACATTTTGGGGGCAAGAAACACCACCCGGGGCTGCCAGCTCCTTCCCACCGCCCCTTTTTTCCCCTGCTATGAAGGGATCAGGCACAGAGCTCATGAAGTTGTTCATAAGGTGAACAAGGGGGGAAAAAAGAAAAAAAAAAAAAAAAAGACAAAGCGGCAATGTAAAACGGTCTGTAATGATTTCCAGCACGTAACGCGAGCATGTGCTCTTCCTTTAGGTAATGCCGGGCAGCGCTGCAGGGTGAGAGCTGTCCCTCTACGGGCTCCAACGGAAAGCGAAGGGAGAGAAAGAGAAGCGCCATCCCGCTCCCTCGGGCCCCTCCGGCATCGCCTCTCGAGGGCCGGCGCGGGGCGTTGTCTGCGGCGAACCAACCTCGGCCCCACAGCGCCGAGCTCCGCGGGGCCGGAGGGCGGCACGGCCCCGCACCACAGGTGAGCCGCCCGCTGCCGCCGCCACCCGCAGGATGCGGGGTCTCTTTGTCGGACCCCCGAGGCGGGGGCGGCTCCCCTTCCCCCCCGGGACTCGCCCTTCGCGGCCGCCATTTTATTCCCGGCTTCTGCCGCCACCGCCCCCCGAAGCGGGCCACGCCCAGGCCGCAGCCGCCCGCTCGTTCGGGGCCCCCCATCCCCGGCTCCGCGGCCCTCGGGGCGCTCCCCGTCGCCATTTTGTCGGCGCCCCCCTCCTCCGCCCCTGCCCCCCCGCCCCCGCCCAGCCGCCATTTTGTGGCCGCTCCCTCCCTCTCCCCTTGGCCTTGCACGGCCTTCCCAGCCGGCGCTCACCATCGTAGCGCTCGGCCTGCTCGGCCAACTTAGCCTGATAGACGAGGTCCTCCCGATCGTCCATGTCCTGCAGGCGGAGCGGCGTCGGGGAGCGTACGGGGCGGATGGAAGCCGATGGGGTCTGGGGGGCTCAGCGGCTACCAGCTCGCTGCTCTCCGGGCAAATATGGCGGCAGCACCGCCTCCCGCTGCATCCGGGCACTTCCACAACCGCGCGCATGCGCCCTCCGGCTTCCCATGGCAACGGCGGCTCCTTAGCAACGGGCGGGAGGCGGCGGGGCCGGGGTTGGGAGCGCGGCCATTTGCTCCTGAGCGGCGGCCGTGGGACGGCAGCCGAGAGGTGCGGAGCAGCTGGGGCTGAGGGGCTGGCAGGGAGCCCTGCTCGCGTGAGGGAGAGCGGGGAGCAACGGCCGGGTGTGTGTGTGTGTGTGTGTTGATGTGTTCTGGGTATAAGAATGCCCAGAAACGGTCTGTTCCCACCTTTTGGAGCCCAACTATTGTTCAGTTCTAGGAATTATTTGATCAGAATTCCATACAGGAAAGCACAAAGATATTAACGTCTCTGGACTGAGGTGAAAATTAGGCATCAAGTCCAGGAAGACAAAAAAAAAAAAAAAGAACACAAAAACTATTTCCAATCTGTAGGAAATATGACCAGAAAATGCAGATTTTGTTGAAACTGGGAATCATGATAGAGCTTTACCTCTTAATTGTCCATAAGGACACAGCAGTTACCAAGGATTCTGGTAGGCATCCGAAAAATCCCAGCAGTATTCAGACACCGTGCATTTGTGTAACGTTGTACAACTTCAAATCACCTCTGCACTTCATACATCTTAACCTAAAAAGCCTATTTTCTCAGCAGCTAAGGCTCAGTTCTGTGTGGGACTGCGCACAATAAATTAGATTTGCCTCAACGTCGGGACTTTACGTGATCCTTGATTTCCTGATGCAATCCTCACCTCGTCCTTTGCACCCACCACGCTTACACCAATCGATTGGACTGCGACAGAAAATCACCACTGCAAGGAGCAGCAACAGTTCTCTGCATAAATCCTGCACGACAAATCCACAGAGATTTGCAAATACCAACACTGAGGTAGGTGAGCAAGGAGTAAAGCTGAGGGCAGTGCTTCTGCCTGTGGAAATTTATTACATGAGGCTCATGGGGTTGTTGTGCGGAGGCACGACAGGAAAACTGGCATCTCGGTACAGTTAAATGCAAAGTCCCACGTGGGGACTCCACCAAAGTGCTGATGAAGAAAGTTATGTGTAGTAACTTGCCAACTGAATACCAGTCAACTAAAATGCGGAGTGCTTTGTGATGTAGTGAAAGAAAACAAATGCCATTGTTGAACTTACCAGCAAGAAAGAGGATTACTGACTATCAAGACTCCTCCCTGCATATTCCCAGAACCAACACACAGTATAGTAAACAGTGTTTTAATTGGGTGTATAAAATATGGCCTATTCTATGCAGCAAGGGCCTTGTGAGTTAAAGAGCACCTCCAGAAGGCCAAATGTTTGGGGGAATTTTGATTTAAGTCATCTAAAGAATCCCCAAACTATTTTCCAATGCATCCCTCTAGTCAGAAGTGAGACTAATAACTGACAAATCTCATTTTTACTTTCTTCATGAGTCCTTCTGCAGTGAGAATACTTTTCGCCCTCCCCCCGGACTTAAGGAACTCAGATAGTCACAGACATTCACCTTGCTTGAAAAAGGCTGTGACATTTTCTGGTTGATAACTTATTTTAGTCATCTTGTCTTTCTTCTGCAGGTGTTAGGTTTAATTGTTTTAATATAAGCATGGTTAATTAAAAGCAGACTTAACAGCACTTCTGTTTCTATACTCTTCAACACAGGTATTACAATGACAGCTGATTGAGAATGACACCAAGCCAAAGTTCTGGCTATACTTTTATTTACTTCACATACTATGAACATATACATTACATGCTACAAAAAATAATTAAAAAAAAGACTTTTAACTGTCAAGAAAGTGGATAGTGTTATAATACAATGGCACATGTTCATATTTCTCTTCAAACTGGTTTGGTTAGAATCCTTCCCCAAAACCATTAACAAAAACAAAGTGTTTTATTCCTAAGATGATTAGAAATATTTGCATTATTAACAAATACAATTCAAACAGATTAACAAGATTTAACCAGGTCAAATATTAGTAAAAAGGCTGGGGTTTACCAAAATGAAATCTATATTAAAAAAACATAGCAGCCAGTTGTACTTTTAGTGTGATAGAATGTGTAAATGCACCAGAAGAACACAGTGTAATTGAGCATTCTGCTTTCACGGTGTATTCTAGAAGTTATTATTCTAGTTCTAACACCTGCCTATGCACAACAGAGCAAAACCACAGCCAGACAGAGACAAAAGATTGTGACCAATGTCTTCGCAATGATTCTTTGCACGCACTGGGAAGAGGGAGAGAACAAACAGAAGAGGATAAACAAAGGCCACAGAGGATTTAATCTACATGATCATGGTCTAGCTATTTTCCTTTAAAAGAGCTCGGTAAGTTGAAATGTCTATTTCGCACAAACGCAAACATTAATTTCTATCACCTATGAAAAAAACTCACATTTCAGCTTAGAACTGAACAGTGGAAAACAGCTGCATGGATGTATTGGTTGATTAAGAAAAACTGCTTGACAAGAACTTAAGATTCTAGTGCAACAGCAGCTATTAAGACTCCTCTACTTTCTTTTTTGCTCTCTCAAAGTGTACAAATATTTGCAATTTATACAGTCTTCACAAAAACACATCTACAAACTTTGCAGGGTATTTGCTAGTCAACAACTCCATTTATGTCTTTCGTATTAAAAAGGCAAGGTTTGCATAATAAAATTCCTTTCAGGAAAAAAAAAAAAGTTATTTTGCTCTCTTAAAATAACTGCTGACTGGAAAGGTATAAACGTATGGACTTCAATTAACTGCAACTGGAAAAAAAATGCTTCAGAACAAACTGCGTCACTCTAAGAACAGTTTGTTGTGCTGCTTCTGTAAAACCTGAAGTATTAGCATATATGGGCAAGTGATACACTCAGTGTTACGCCTGCATTAGAATGCAGCTAGTGAAAAATCAGTGGCAACAAGCAGTAAGACCAGAGGAAAAATACAGCTTAGCCTTAAATACATCAATTTGTTCCTGGCCCTTGAGTTAGGTTCTGAATTTGTTTCCCCAGTGGAGACTGAGTACAGAGCTAGAAGTGATCTCTCAATCAGAGCAGCAGATCACCCTGCCCAGAAGAACCATCCAAGCTGGAACAGCTCTGCAATTCCTTCCTTACTGTTATTCTTGGGTTGCTGTTATAACAACTATCAGTTTGCTAATAATCTTTAGTACTGCTTAAGGGATTGGTGATAGAAAAGTACAATTAATGTACATTGGCATTCATTTACAGAATTATCGGGTGCCCGTTACCTGAAAATTAGACCTGCTAATGAATTAGTTCTGAAGCAACTAGTACTTAAATATAACAAATATTAACGTTTCCAGCATGTTACACAGTTCTGAGGTAAAGTGTTACCAGTATTCTGTCTGCTGGGTCGGTGCCTTGCAGCAATGGCATTTGCAGTGGGAAAACTGGCCCTCACAGCATCTACAGCCAGTGAGACATTCTAGCCTGGCACAGTTTGTATCAACCACATCAACATCTTCAGTTTGATACTATTTAGAAACAGCTGTTCTGTGTGGTTATAACCTAGTCAAAGTTAGAGAATTTGTTTGCTTGGTCACTTGAGTGCTGTATTTGGAAAGCAATCCAGGGTACAGACAAGGGTTCATTACTTCAGTGTTTAATTTCAGTTTACAAAACTTACTGAATCCATTCTGATTTATGTTAGAGAAAACCAGATAATTAGAAGAACAGGCTTAGAAAACAACAAACAAAACCAACAAGCAGTGCATATTACCAACTATCCAACGCACTGATTTGCATTGTGAGCTATGAAGCCAGAGTGACTCTATTACTCCTTTTGAAAATCAATCCAGAAGCACACAAGTATTTTCCATTAGTTTATTAAAAATAAAATCCTCATGAATTCACTATCAAATATTTTACAGATGAGAATTAAGCCAGAAGAGTCCCCAGAGTGATTTCAAAATAGAAGTAGTATTTGCTTTGTCAGTTCACCACTTTTGACAATGATTTGTACTGTAATGCATACGGGTATTGAACAGTTCTACACTAGTTAGACTGGCCCTATGGAATTTATCTTTTCCTCAAAGCAGTGTAAACGTTTTAGTACATTTAGTGAATCAAACACTGCTTTAAAGCTATGCCTTAAAGTGCTTTTACACATTTATTTTTCAGCACTGGTATGGACGTTTACACTTCAATAAGCCTTCTATTTGTGGATAAAGAGTTACTGGCGTGTTAATAGAAAATTTAAATTAAAATTAGCTGCTATGTCTGAAGCATCAACAGTACTGAATAAATCAATCTAGTGTCCACCAGCGTCCAGAATTCTGAGGTTGATTTGTTCTGTCATTTACCATTAAAATGGTATGTATTTGTAAATCATAAGGCTGTCCCCAGTGTGCTCTAAAATATCTGTACTGTGCATAGTTAACTCACCATGCAAAGTACTACACAGCATTTCTAGGACAGAGAATTCAGGATGGAAAAAATAAAATGGAGAAAGCTCCAGGATAAATTTGTGGGGAATAAAAAACCAACCCAAACAAACTATCTATACATTGAATTGTCTAAGGTTGATGTTCATTGCCTGAGGAAGAAGCAACATAAAGAAAAGGACTGGAGAGAGCTGTAAATGCTGTCCTAACGTCTCTGTTACTGCTCTCTCCAGCTGATGCTCCTGGCAAGGTCCAGTCTGCTGTGCACATGGACATAAGCAGGCATTACAACCTATAATCATGTACTAGTTCTGCCACTTGACACACAACTTATCTACTGTCGTACCCTGAATTACGTGACCCTTGATTAAGGAATGGTGGTGCTCAGTCCCAGGGGTTTGCAGGTTATCAGAATGCTTATACAAGCAATACCGCTTTCAGCCTCTGTCAGAACACAGTCTGGATGGCATCTGCAATAAAAACAAGTTGAGATTGTTCCCATCTGCAAGCGCAACTGTTGAGCCACACTCAGCTGAAGTCCTCATCAGGATTCTGTTGATCCAGCAGGCGGACATGTGTGAATGGAAAGTGACCACGTTTGCCATTACATTCTCCTTCCCACTGACCACTCATGTTAATCTTTGTGACCTTTACCAGCTCACCGACCTGCAGGGGAAGGAATAAGGAAAGTTACAATTCACACGCACGCACAGGATGAGCTGCTGCTCCTCCCCCTCGGTGTTGCATCAAGTGTACCACAGATAATTCTATCAAAGCAGTTTCAGTCTTAACCATTTTTGATGCACCAGCCTACCACCTCATGTTTCTCACTCACGAAGAACCATATAGAAAGAAACTAGCTAGGCTAGGTGAGAACTACCCCTTAGTCTGCAATCAAGACCAAACGTTCAGAGCACATCTGGGCCCTGACGTTAGCTGCTATCACAGTAACTGGATGTGGCTGAACTGACCGAGGTTTGTGCTCTGCTGTACTGCATCAACGGCCCTGCAAGGGAAGGGAGTGAGGGAATGCAGGTGGATGAAGGAAACATCTACAAACTAAATGGCTCCTTAATGCTGAAATTCCTCCAAGTGCTCTCCACGTAGCACTGAAGGAGTTTGGGATAACTGGGGGCTGCGTTTGCAGAGTCACAGATTATAAAGCAGTAGGAGAATGTTTGGAGAAGTGCTGCCTTAACACTGCACTGCTCTTACTCTCTGTGCATTCACATCAAGCCATTACCACAGGCAAGGCCAGATGATCTTTCAGTCTTTTGTCCACAGATTCCTCAAATAAACTCCATGGGTGCAGTGAAGACAACTGATGCCCTCTTCCTGTTATACCCAAAATGTTCGACTAGAAAAATAATGGTTATTGTGGCCCAACAAAACAACGTGCTGTGTTTAAAAGCATCCAGTTCTACGTACTGCACTGACTAAAAGCACAGTAATGCATCTCATCTTCTAATCTCCAGCATAATTCATAACCAATTAAATCTAGAAGAATTGCCTTCCTTTGACAAGGTCAAAAAAACTGCACAGCAGATATTTTCCCAAGGCTGACTTTGTGTGTCGTTCCATAGCTATGCAGTTCCAAGCAGGGCCACAACTCTAGGCCTGCTCAGTGCCCAACTGCTCTGCATCTTAAAGGATACATGAACTAGAACTTGTACAATGATTTACAAACTCAGTGAAAGGTGTGTGACATCGAAAAGCTGCCTGCCCACTTCTACCCCTCTATGTACAGTTTTATCAGTAATCTTACTTATGAGGAACACAGCAATCTTCAGAATTTTTCTGTGTCACAGACAGAAAATACTTTGGGGACAGATATACTCTATTTTCTTTCACTAATGCTGTAAATAAGCTCTCAAGGCACAGCTGCAGTGTCTTACTGCATTTAACCCAGAAAGTCACTGAGTATACAGTTATGTACGTGCTCAGCACTGTGCCCAATTCATCCAAAGCAGAAGCTCATTATTCTCACTTCCCAGGCAGTGAACGAAGAATAAGGAAAGCAATTTCAGATGCTAGTAGTCTCTGTTAACTGTACAAGTTCTAATCCCTTGCAATCTCTTGCCAAAGCAGCTTTTAACAGTGCGTACATTTAAAACACTGCATGGACATTTAATTAAGCTTCCCATAACTCTGATGATTACTTATCTGGTAATGAGAGGCACACAGGGGACTCTTGCTGCAGCTTTGTTTTCTTTCCCTTTGTAGTAATTAGCACAGACATTTTCATGAGCCGTATTCTGAAGAAAATCCTCTTATGTATTTGCTAGAGGCAAAAAGGAAGCTTTCCATGACTTCTCTATGCTAGCTTCAGCTCTTTAGGAATTTAATCACGCAGTGTGTATCATTTTGCTACTGCTAATAATCACTGGGGGGCTGTAGCAATAAAAAAATACTCCGTTGACCAAAACAATAGAAAGCTATAATTTAATAGGGAAAAAATTAAATCTGACTATAGTAGAAGCAAAAAAATTTTCTTTCCTAACAATAACCATTACAAGAACACTATCCTACACACACTAAATTACTTCAGATCTGGACACAGTGCTTCAACAGCAAAGCATATGGCCTCCAAACCAGTATGAATGAGAAAAGCACGTCCTCCTGTCTAACTGAACAGCCCGACTTATCCTGATGGAATCTGCAATTAAAGACACTTGTAGTCATCTGTGCTTCTCTATTGTATTTTTTCAAGCTAGAATTGTATCCTTAATAGATCCAGGATAATCTCACTTCAGTTGTTTTTATTTACAACAAAGTAATATTTAAATAGCTAAATGTGCATGCACTGCTCTCATCTGCTCTCTCAGACTTCCTTCCTACCTGTAATTTTCCCTTTTCCATCCTTACTGAAGTTGGAAACACTTCTATGTTTATTGTGGGAGCCGTTCTCCTATGTTCTGTGGACCACAGACCAAGTCTCATTCTATCCACACTACTTACCTATGGTAACGTACTAACAGTGATGCAATGTGCCCACTGTGCTTAGCAGAACTGCATGAAAACTTCCAGCGGTGTGGCATGGGCAATTCTGCCTCCACTAAGTTACAAAATGAAGACAACACAGAGAAACTTCTAGCAAAGCTACCCATTATTACAATTGCTGGAACTTCCACATTTTTACACCAGAAGAGGACATTCCCTCTGAATTCTGCTCACTTTGATTAATGCTATTACCAGTCTGCTGCACATCATCCCACCAAGCCCAGAACCCAAGGAAAGCACTGCACTCTGCTATCAAGCCAGACTTGGAGCAGTTCTCTTACGAATTTTCAATTGCTGCTTCAAAGTAAAATACGAAGCTTCATGTAAAGACTTTTTTATTCCAAGTGCTTCTCTTGAAATGTGAAGATGGTAGAGTCCTGTACTGCTACTGAGGGGAGGAGAAACAAACTAAGGTGGAACGACCTCAGAGTCGTTAACTAAATCGATGTTCCCTTCCCTTAACGATACCCAACGACTTCTTGGAGAGGTCCACTTACAAGCAAATTAAGTGTGGTCTTGGGTTAAAACCTTCCTCCACAGCACAGCACAGCCTTTGTCAGAACATAATTTGCTTTGATCCTCCTCTAAGCTCTTCAAACCCATGTTAGTTTGAACCTAACAGCACAGATAGTTCTGTTTGCAGTTTGGGCCACAAAACTGTTTGATGTTAACAATTTTATTTGCTTAGGATAAACACTGGGATCAAACCCCACCTACAAATATCACCCCATTTAAGACAGAGTTTTCATTTGGAGGAAACAAATTTAGATTTATAGTTAAGAGGTTTGGGCAAAAATGGACTGAAAAGATTTACATAATGCTTTCTGGTAAGCCATTGAAGAAAGAGATCTCTGAATAAATGAAGAAGAAACACCATGAAGTGAAAGGGAATGTTAAAAACAGAAAAAAAGACAACGAGAAACAGTACTTGGAGAGACAGGATGAAGAAAAACTGGGAAGGGTAAAGAGCACACCGCTGCTTTTTCCTGTATGGACATGGAAAGCAGTTCAATAACACTGTGATTTGATTTGATGAAGAGTAACACAAAGGAAGCACAATTAGAAGCAGGGATACATGCTTCAAGTCTTACAAGTAAGTTTTCCCAATATTAAGTACAGAATAAAGAACTACTGCTGCTAACAGCATACAGCAGGATGAGTGCACATCATCCTCTCTGAGAGGCCCAACCTGCCAACCAGCAAGCGTTCCAGTAAGATGACATGGTCCATGAAGATCCCTGCCCTAACAGACAGGCAGAGGTGCTATGAGTCTGATTTCTGTCCTCACAACAGGCAGAACCTGTGCACTTCTTCATTCCAGCCCCTGCACACTTCTGCTATGCAGCATAGTAGCACGAGAAAACCACAGCAGAGGGAGGTGGTTCAGAACAATGAGATGCCCTCCATGAAACAACACCTTCCAAAAGCACAACACACTTGACAGAAGGTCATTGAAGAGGATAAGAAAACCACCACAGCACTCGCAAGCTGTTAGCCAGTGGGTAAGGAATTCTGCTTTCACTCGGATTTGCTCACAGCAGCCCAGATTATCAGCACTTTCCTCATCCTCACCATTTTGCTCTATGCTACCAAACTAGAATTTGAGTGGCACGGTGGGGCTCTGCTTTAAAGGAAATGACACAAGTTTAAGCTTAAAGGAACACTGGCAGCACATTGGGGTTAGCTAAAGCTTAAAAACAAAATCCAGAAAGAAAACCAAAAGATTTTGATACAATATGCAGCAAACTAGAATGCCTCTAAGGAAATCTGATTGGAACACTCCGTGATGCTCAGAAATATTCTGAAGCTCCAGGAGGTGCCTAGGTGAGATGGTGAGAAAGAGAGGAAAGGAAACAGCATTTCAGGTATTACAGAAATTGGAAGGTTAAAATCTTTGCTTATTTCCCCAGAATTTGTTGAGTTGGCATGAACTTCCACACAGATGCTTTTCAACCCCAAAATCTCCATTCTGTATCCTGGCTTTCAATCCAGAAGTGCAACAAAGCTTACAATAACTGAGAATATATTTCCACTGCTTCCCTAGGCAAATTTTTATGTACAGTGGGGAAAAAAATGTCAGCTCTCCCAGGTTATACACCAGATCTGTAGAATGTGCTGCATTTGCCAATTGTGTTCTAAAGACACGCACATGTGCTCGCCACATTGCTGAAATATTCCAGTGCATTTCAATGCCACACAAAATTAAACAAATTATTAAGAGTGCAGAGATGTTCTGACTCAGCACAGAAACTGTTTTTTCCCCCAAGTACTTAAATTGTCACATAAACAGGAAGTCAATTAGGTATCAGGAAATTCCAGAGCGTTTAACTCAAAGAAAGCCTAGATTAAAGGATATCATTTACATATCATCCTAAGGCAAAGGTCTGCCACTTAGAATACCTTGGCCTGAATTTCCTCAAATGTAACTTGGAGGATAACTATTTGGTGTGTAGAGATTGAGCACTATTCTCCTTTTTAAGAGGGGAAAAAAAAAATATCAAAAAGAGCACGGATCAATGTTTGATCATATCAAGAAGTGAATCAACCTTAGGGAAACTCACTGCTTTATTACAAATAATACTCCATCAGTCACTACTTTTCCTCCCTAATGACTTATAATATATGTTCATGATTCACAGTCTACAAAATGAAGCAATCTGTTTGAGGTCAAGGCATTAAAATAAACCCCTACGCAGGATCATTACTGCCTCAGTGTGAATAATTTCAAAGCGACTATGAGTGCTTCCACTGGTTGCTTTTAAAAGGCAGACAGGATGACAGAACGACTCAGCACACCTTTAAAGGCTGGGGTGGAGGCACGCAGCACTGAACACAGGTTCTGACACACAACATTATGAGCCGCACCCAATCCCTCCCCCGAAAATAATGACTTCAGAAGTGAAATGTGGATGGGGAAACACTTATGTTAGTGATGTGTGACAAGAGACAACACTGGATCAGTAAGCTAAGCATGCTTATAATCAAGCTACTCCATAAGTGACTTCAGTCACTTATTTAAAAAAAATTAAAGCTATATCAATAACTTATCAATCATGATGCAAAACCAGCGTTACAGTGCTTTTTTCCCTTCCTTATTCCTACAGAATTATAATGTGATGGAAAGGGAAATCCCTTGAACAGATCTCTTCTTTCTGAGTTTTGCCCATTATGTACCTCCAAAGCCAAGGCTGTCTTGTCGTAGGCATTAGGGACTCGCTTCTGGATAACCCGGGCATAAATAGGGCCATTCTGAAGGTTAGGGAGCGGAGTGTTGATGCTGGGCTGGGCATAGGGCCCTGGCTCCGGCCCACCCAGTGGTTGTGGGTGGGAACTATCCTGGTTACCTCCAGTCAGAGTAGATACTGAAGCAGAGGAAGGTCTACACTTCTCGACGTAAGGAACAGGTATCATTCCCCTCTTTCCTTCGCTGTCTTCTGCATTCCACCATTGCTCTTCAGGTTTATCCCGGATTTTCAGTATGTCTCCTTTCTTAAACGGAAGATCTTCGTCATCGTTTCCATTAAAGTCAAAGAGAGCTCGCACATATTCAACTTCCTCCTGTCTGAGGATGACGCCGCTATTCTGCCTGGATCGGGAAACTGGCTCTATCAAGGTTGTAGTGTCCAAATAGTGTATTTTGTAGAATTCCAGTAAAGATGGCAAAGAATCAAACTCCTGGTCACCTATTCGAAATCTGGTGGGGTTCAACCCTGAAAAGAGAAAGCAAAACGTCAACAAAGAGAGTGAACAACAGTTACAACTGCAAATCAAACATCTGAGAAGACCGACACCTCTACAGACAAGTAACCTGATACTGACTTTGGTCATCCTTAGATCAACACTTATCATATTCAGCTCTTCTTGGTATTTTCAATTTAAGGGAGCATTATATTGTTAATGAGGATAGAGGTTTAAAGATGGTGCTCGTGATACCAAAGTATGCAACAAATTGTTTGACACTGCCAAACTTCCTGAATTATGACAGAAGTATCTAGAATCCTGCAATGTTTTACGGACCTTCAGTTCATCTGCACTTCTCAGAAGCCTACACAATTTTCACTGAACAGAGAATTCATTTCTTTCCCACCACTGAAAGTCTAAATCTGGACAGCAAACAAAGTCCTGGTATAATTTCTAACAGCTCAGACTCCACAGAAAAACAGCACAGCAAAGCAACAATACGTTCTCATAAGGCTTATAATTCATTCTTTTAATCTCCATTCTTATATTTTCTGTGCCATATTTGTCAGATGGAATCTAAGCTGCAAATGCGGATCTCAGATACATTAAAATGCAGATGATGTTCATATTCAAGACATCAGGAGTATCAAATTGCAGATAATCCATTTCAGTTTTCAATCTGAGAGCTGCACTTCTTTTTTTCTTTTCATTTTCATGCTCAGGCTCAGCTGGGGGAAAACACATGTATGATGTTCCATTTCCACCATGCACCATACACTGTGTAATCAGTTATGGGAAGAATTGTGGAAGGCTGGGGGAGGGCAGTGGAGAGGAAAAGATTTATGCTTTAATGAGTAACTCTTAGCAAGAAAGAGATGCTTACTTTGCAAGTCTGCTTCTCTGCAGGGAATATCTAACAGTTCTGAGAATGAGCTCTCGAGTACAAAGCTAGCAGAATTTTTCAGGCTGTTGCTGATCCAAAACTCCCTTCAAAGTAGCACCGTCAGCACGACAAGCTAACGTTACAAGAAGGTCTTTCAAGAGAGCAAAAAGGGGCTCTAACAGAGAAAGGACAGATTTGGTAAGATCAACACAAGCAGCCAATAAATGAGTTCTGAAGGAACAGAAATGTCAGTTAAGTTGGTTACAAAAAATTCAAAGCAGCAGAACTAAGCCATAGGAAAATGCACGTTGAGATGCATCAAAAGCTGAAGGGCTTTCAAAAGAAATCAGCCCCGCTGCAATGAGCCAAAAAAAGCAACAGTCTCAAATAACTACAAAAAAAAAACCCAAAGTAACCAAAATCACACTGGCTTCACCAAGAGATAAGAAAACTAATGTAAATATCAGTGTGATGTGTGAACCTGGCTCAGAAAGAGGAGTAAGACTCTAGAAATAACACCTAACAGCCTGAAACAGCTGCCAAACATACCTACATAAAATTCACTCTTAAGAGGAAAGTCCACTGATGTCCTGTGCGTGAGGAAGGAGCGACTGACATCAGGGTTCTGCAGCCTTTTAATGAGCCTTCCAAAATACATTTGGCGTGATTGAAGAGTGAGGGAACGCAGCCCCTTCAAATACTTTAAGATCACAGTGCTCAACGTGCTCCTCAAAGGGACGAAACCAAGTCACACCATTTGCACAAAGGGAACACGCCCCAAATGCCACATGCTGATTCTGATTCTTTTGTTTTAGAAGCAGAGGGCAGCTACAGCAATTTGAGGTCTGGAAAACAAGACCTTTGCAGCAAGAAAGACACGAGCTTAATTCAAATTGCTGAAGAACATAAAGGCAGCAACCTGGTCACTGCCCGGAAAACTTTAATGAGAAGGTTCCTAAAAACACCACGACAAGCCTGAAGAGTTCAAAGTCACAATTAGGAAAACATAGGTTGGAAACACAACCACACCTTACCAAGCAGGCGGTAATCTCTTCATCAGTTTAAGTCTTTGGTGCATACTCTTGTTCAGCTACAAAGTTAACGAGCTGAGTGATGTCACACAGCAGGGAAATAATTCCATGCATTAGGAGCTTCCAAGTCCTGCCATTCCCTGCTACAATGAAACTCAAAGATTAACAGATTTCAGGCTCAGAATTCTTCAGCTTCTTGTTTGAATTGCAACACTTCTCATACCTGTAGGCCAGTGGAAAAACTAAAGCATGATCTACCATGAGGAAGTCAGAGCAAAAGAGCTGGTTTTATGGTTTCTCTGCAGAAGCAGAGCTGTTTTGCTTCACAACCCTGGAACAGCTTTCTTGAAGGCACAAGTGCTAGCAGCATATTGTGTGCATCTTCCGAGGGCTCTCAGGAAAAGCAGAATGTGTGCAAAGGTAATCCTAACTTCTAGAGGAACTTTAGTCACTTCCTATTAAAGTTGGACAACTGAAGAAATCCTCTTCCCTCCTCCCCAGCTCTGCAGAGCCAAAGGAAGGACAGCAGCTCAGCTCGCACCTCCAGCTGCAGGACCGCGCAGCTCTGTAAGACTGCTCCTTAGAATCAGAAAGGGAAAGAGCTGAGGATCACCCTTCCTACTTACTCCATCCCAGCTCCATCTGCGCTAGGACTTAATGTGATTCCACCCACTTGGAAACAGACAGCGAAACCTCCGCCCCCAGAGGGGTGATGAAGGGGTTAAAATCCAAAGTAGCCCATAGTTAATGTAAGCGTAAAATCTGGACCCTGACTGATCTCTGTGACACATGGGCCTTCCTGACATAGGACTTTTACACTGGGTTGGCTTTGTGTCAGCGTGGAAAAGATCATTCACAGAGGTGTTAAATAAAACATCTAATATTCTTCTTGAGAGCGTGGGCAGGTGGCGTAACCACAGAGCAGCTTCAAGCTTCATCAGACCCTCCAGGGTTTCACATTTCTCTCTGCACTCCCATTCTGTCAGTGCCACTAGGCAGTTTTCTCTTTATCCCTAAGCTTTGGTAAGCTTTCCTTTTTAGGGCATGGAAGACTTAACAGGAATATAGGTTTTCAATCTCATCTCTAGACACACTCCGTAAGCCCCTACCCCCCATCTTCAAAAGCATGTTTGGGGAAAGAAAGGCTGCTCTTGGTGCTCAGGGTGCTGAGACAAGGCTCTCTGAAGAGATCACACTGACATACGACAGTTTTCCTCCTAGAGCAACTGTTACAGAGGCAAAACGTTCTGCCTGTGTCCCCCACCTTCATTCAGATGCCTTCTTTTCCTTGTTCTTCAGTGCCTCTCTGCTCACTACTGAGCAAAACAGACAAGCACCCAGAAATGCTCTAAAAAAACAGTGAAACCCAGCTCACTGGTTTCATGAGCCCAGGAAGCACAGACTGAATCTTTCAAAAAATCACAACGGAGTGCAGTAAGCGCGTTTGTAAAATGCATACTTACTGAAGACATCACCTTCCACTCTGCCACACTTTTCTATGTCACAAAGAAAAATGTTATGGATTTGAGGTTTCTGGCCTTTCAATAAAAAACACTTCAGATGTCTTTAGATGTTTTAGGCATTTTGTTTCAGTGCACATCAGACATTTTCACCCTATGCTTGCATGCCAAACTGCAAAGACGTGTTCAAATATTTCCTTCTGTACTGAAGCTGGGTTCCTACTGTCACCTGCACACAGCAGTGTACAAGCAGTCACGAATCACACGTGCACTTCAACAGCCTGAAGCCAATAAATCAACACAGGAACCTGACCAGGCATATCTAGGCTTTTCAGTGAGTTGTGTGCATTTGCCAAACAATGAATTGCAAAAAAATAAGTATACCATATAGAAAAATAACATCATAAAGTCATTTTTCCTAATCAGCTCTATGTGAACATTTACCTCATTTCACCGTGCTACCTTCCCCATCCAAACCTGAAATCATCTTTAATCTTCTACCAATAATACCACGTCCCTTCCTTTAAAGAACCTTTTTCCTTACTACTTTTTCTGATGGAAATGATGTTAAGTGCAATTTACTACACATACACTCTTTCTTTCTTTGGGTTTGAGTGCGAAGAGCACAGCATCAGCATGACATTCATCTAAACCCACTAGAATTGCAGCACAGAAATATCTTTGGAGCGAAAGTGAAGCAGTACCTATTCTCATAACATCGAGGTGGGACAAAAAAGTGGACTTCCAAAAAATAATTAAGCTTTTGAACACAATCAAACCTACTGCCAGAGCAGCTACACAGCGATGACAGCAGCTGGTCTTCTAAAGCAGATGTTTAAAACAGAAGATAACTACATCAAGCACATCTCACAGTCATAGAGTGGCTTTGGTTGGAAGGAGCCTTTAAGATCACCTACATTCACTGAGGTGATCCGACAGGAACGTGGATTATACATTCAACAACACAAAGAATACTGGTTTTCCACAGATGAACCACTCTACAGAAAACAACTGCCCAGAAAAAGGGCGGGCACACAGACTTCATTGTTTTTCACCTCCAGCATCTTTTAAATCCTATCAGGATGGATTCCACTACAAATCACCCTGGAAACTTATTCTGCTTTGTGTAACAGTCACACATTTCACACATGAAGCCTCCACAAACCTATGAAAATAAACCTTGGCTTTGATAAGACACGAAATGCTGAGGAACCGACCACGTCTTGTAGTAAACCACTTCACTGCCTGCTTTGCTTCCACTTCAATGCAGCCACCTTTATCTCCTGCATTGCAGAGCTTTCTGTGACTGGCGTGCACCTTACAGCAGATTCCTGTGACGAACCCAATGACTTGAGGCTTTCACCAATGTGCCAATTCTAAATGTTACAGCAAGCAGGAGAGATCATTGTAAAATGGTACAAACCCACCAACAACAGATTTGTTCTTTTTTCAGATTACTTCTTCACCAACTACAGTCTGTACAGCTTGAAAAAAATCCATTATTTGTCTCTGTAGCAACTTCAATCCTTGTCAAGTTCATTAGATCTCCTATTACACAGCTTCATTACACGGATTTTCAAACTCTGTAGTGGTTTCTCTCTGAGATGCCAGCAATACACCCACATCGTTCTGTGAGCATTAATATCCAGACAGGAGTGGCTCCACCACCAACTTCAGCAACGTCCCCAGCAGGGCTGCTGTTTAACTAAACCTTCTCACCACTCATCTACAGATCACACAATGCTGGGGGCTCCTGTTCACTTAGCTACACTTGTTCATTCAGAATCATTGCTTTCTGCAATACAGTCTTCTCCTCCACAATATTAAAGCAACTCTCTAAGGGTTAATTTAAGTACATTGTTTTTGTATTAGAGGTTGATGAGGAATAACATCAAATCTCCCCTTAGAACACAAGGTGTGTGTAGGAGGGGGGGGCCTGAATTCTATATCTAAAGGAACAAACGCCTTTATGCTCCTGAGGAGCTCCCACTACTTATTAATCCACCCAGCTCTCTGATTCACGACTAAGTTTAGCCTCACAACCTGTCTTCTTAAGGCTAAACTACTCCAACCGAATTCACCCTTTTAAGTGACTCTTCCACAGATCCATCTCCAGGCTCAGCTGATACACCGCATCCACACGTTACCATTCACATTCACAGCTTTATGAAGAAAACAAAAGAACGCACAAAGCTGTAAACGCGTGACGGCTCCGGGCTGCGCTCTATCCCAACGCACGTTTAGCAGCGAGGCAGGTGCAGGCTGCAAGACGAGCCTCAACTCCTCTACAAAGAGCAACGCGACTCGCAGCGCCGCCCGTGAGGAGAGCGGAGCTCCCGGGACGCGGCGCTCAGCGGGGCCCGCAGCGGCTGAGGGGCACCGCCAGCCCTGGGGGTCACTCACCCGGGGCCCCAGGGCCCTCGCCGCCGGCCCTCCGGCCTCCCGCCGGCCCCAGGCTGTTGACGATGTAGTGCGAGACGCGGGAGCTCTCAGACACCGAGAGCACGAAGTCTCCGGGGATGGTGCCCGAGTCGCGCACCAGGAAGGTCCCGTGGCGCTGCCCCTGCAGCAGCGACACCGCCTCGGCCCGGCTCAGCCGCCCCCAGTACCAGCTCCCCCGGTCCTCGGAGTCGAACTGCCCGGCCATGGGGGCCGCCCCACCCGCAGGCCGCACTCGCTGCCCCCGCCCCGCGGGCCGCCGCCGCCCGCGGTGCCCCGCTCCGCGCCCAGCCCTGCCACACCAAAATGGCGGCCCCTGCCCTGACCTCACCTACCGGAAGTGACCGCAAGCGGGAGACGCGGGGGATACGTGACGTCATCTTTCCGCGCGGCCGTGGGGACGGGTGGCTCCCGGGGGGGGGGGAGGCTGCGCATGCGCTCTAAGGAGATTGCAGGGCACCCGAGAGCGGCAGCTACCCGTTTCCAGGGCTGCTTTGTTCATATCCGAGTTCTTTGTCCGGTGTGCGTGCTGTGCTGTGAGCGCGGCCAGGATCAGTCGGTCTGTGCTTCTGGTGCATCTCGTTAGGAGGCGAACGTAACCCAGAGTGCCACAATTACCCGTGGTTTCCCAGTTCTTGACGCTTGCTGTGATCACTCATGTGAAGCTGGGTTTGTCTGCACGCAGGCAGGCACATTGAGGATTGAGTTCGCTGTCTTTTTTTCTTCAGAGATGTGCTGGCACCCGCAGTTCCTGCCCTCACCTCCTCTGCCAGCTGTATGCTCCCACCTCACAGCTGTGCCAGTGCAGCTGTTTTCACTGAAAAGTGTCTTTCCAGTGAGATGTTCAGTGTTAAGTATAGCCCTGTGAAAGAAAAAGCTTGTTCTGAGCCTGAGATCACTGACCTCGGGGGCCTGCAGGCAGAGAATTGCTTAACTTCCACTTCTGCTGCAGAGGAACACGTGTGTGGGTGCATGCAGTTAAGAATGGCATCTCTAAGGATGACAAAATAGATTTTAGATTGTTCTCCGAGATCTTCAAGTTCCAGTATAACGTCTTCAGAGTCTGGATAACTGCTCAGAGAATTCCATTCCAGCTCTGCTCAGTTCTGTAAGCTTCTTTTCCCCATAGGAATGTGTTTTTACAACTGTGTGACCTCCGTGTGGCAGCACTTGCATAAACAGAGCACAGCTGTCCTTAACTGTACCAGTGCCATGTTCCTGCCTGGATGGCTCACAGCATTTTTGCTTTCTTGTAGGGCATTCTGAAAGCCTTGTCACTGTCTCATGGATGGGGCTTTGCTATTGTGTCGATTAACTAGTTTTGTATGAACCTTCACAGTATCCCAATGAAAAAAAATATCCTATCTTACAGGTGGGAGGCTGCGGTTTGCTAAATATGTAAGAAAACACCAGGTGTTTGACTTCTGCTTATCTGAGGGCTTAACAAATGAGCATCCTTCCTTTGCTGATCCTGTTCTCTCTCCAGATGGACTGTAGGTAGGAGCCAGTCATAATCTATTTGGAACCTAGAGTCCCAGTTTCCCTGGTGACGCGTGGAGTTTGCAAGCTGGCTGCAGAAATAGCGCACTTCTGTGCCCAGGTTTTTCATAGTTTTGAAAAGCTGGAGATTGTTGTTGAAAGCCCAGGCTGCTAGGAGAATTAAATCCCAGCAGCAGGAAAATATGGCCATTCTATGTAGTGTTTCACAAACTTCAAATAAACAAGCCAGAACTCTCTTGCAACGGTAAAAGTAATCATTTTTAGGCTCCTGCCAGATCACTGTTTAAAAAAGAAAGAAGAAAAGCTGTCTTTTGACTGAGATTCTGCTGGCTGATTTTTGTTGTTGTTGTTCTTTTTCTTCTTCCCCATTCCTCCTTTTGTACCCCATCTTCCCTTGTTTACAGCTGAACCATCGAACTACAGGAGTTAGAGGGTTTCATCAGGTTTCTTTTTCAGTTGCTAGCAGTTGGGAATATTACTGCAAGAGTTCCCTCTGGCGGTCAGTAATGGGGAAATGAATAATACTTCCGTAAGAAGCTTTTTTATACTGGGAGGATTTATTGTTCAGTCACTCTGTTCAGTGTTTTTAACAACCTTTCTTTACTTATGGCTTCTCTAGATAATAACTGGTAACCTTTTCCAAATTCCTTTTTCCTCCCATAATTAACACTCCACTCCTCAATAGTTTACTACCATTGATTCATCCTTTCTGTACAAAGGCTGCAATAAAGGTGGAGCTTTTCTGCCCCAACCTGCATTCTTTCACTGGCCTTTTATGGGCAGAGGATGAAGTCTGAGGTGAGTGGAAAAGAACAAAGCTCTTCACTGGAGACTTAATAAGATTAGATCAGCTTGTAATTGTGAAGAATTCGCGTTCATAATAATATTCTAAAAGAAGCTGGAAAATATCAGGAGAATATTTTGTTCACCTACCCAGCAGTAAAGGCCCTGAAGGCACTCAGGCCTGGTTTTCCTCTTCTGATTTGACTGTTCTTGCCAGTCAGAGGTGATTTTTTCCTAAGGAATTCTAAAACTTTGGCTACTTACCTAAAGCCACAACTTATCAGTAGAAAGTTTCGTGCTGAGTTCAATAAGCAAGTCATGAGATCATGTCAAGCAGAGAGGGCTGTGGTAAGGCTATATAGCAAGGATCTTCCTAGGCAAACATTCCAGGATTTTCAAACAAAGTAAGCAAGCATTTGGGTGAAGTGATGGCTTCAACTGCACTCTTACAGCAGTAGTGCAAAGCAACCTGATGTCACAGAATCCTGCTCCAACTATTACATTGAAGGGTTAGGCTTTGTAAATATGGTCTATATCACATATAGATCTAGATCACTGCATTCTACTTATAAGATGAAAACCAAAAGGAGAAAAAAAAGTATCCTTTATTTCCCTTATAATAGCGTTTCTGTCACAGAAATGTTTTCTCTACTGATTATTTCAGAATCTGCTGCTCAGAGCAGGTGTTTCTGCCCTGTTTACTTCTCACATGTTCACATTATGCATACGTGGCCTCTCCCATAACCATTCACATCTGGCATGGAAATATCACCTGTGGTGATATCACTTGGTGGTTCCTGTCAGGTGCTGGCTGTGTGATGTCAGCACCAAAGATAGTTCTGGCAAAATAACTGCCATTAACTATTGTGTAAAGACCTCAGTGCAGAGGCTGTTGAAAATAAATAAATCTGGAGCGTGTGATGAGTATGGATGAAGGGAGGAGCCTTTATGTTGCCAGCTGCAAAATTTCTTTATACCGAAGTCAAGATCTGCTGTTGAATTTTAGAATCATAGAATTGTTAAGATTGGAAAAGAGCTCTCAGATCTCCAAGTCCAACGCCAACCCACCCCACCATGCCCACTGCCCATGTCCCTCAGTGCCACATCCCCACAGTTCTCAAGCATCTCCAGGGATGAGGACTCTCCCACTTCCCTGTGCAGCTGTACTACTGCAGCACCACTCTTCCTGAGAATATACTGTTCCTAATATTCTTCTTGAACCTCCCCTGTTGTAATTTAAGGCCACTACCTTTTGTTCTAAGGAAACCTATCACGGGGGGTGTGCTGGAGGACTGGTTTGAGAAGCAGCAAAACAGGAATGAAGTAGGATGGGAGGGTCATGCAACCAGAGAAATATTAGGAATTTGTAATGGAATTAGCTGGATGTGATGCTGGTGATCACGAACTGAGGAAACACAGCTGTAGAGCCATCAGTTGTATTATGCAATGGATGCTAAAATACTGATGCTATTGGCCAAGGCAGGAACAAGCCCTGAGATACAGCATGGTTCTGTACCATTGTGTCCAATGGGATAGCTATGAACTACAGTGAGCAATTAGGATAATTAGCAGAATAAATAACTTGTTTCGAGAGAATTGCTGAATGGAATTGTAATGGAATTTAGCATAGCGAAGAATGAAATGATTCCTATGGTTCCGTAAGGCTTTTCTTGACATACCCTCGGGTGGGAAGGCAGTACGTGACAAAGGGAACAACCGAGCTGAGAACAGACATAGAGACACATGGCTCCTGAGCAGCACAGAGAGGGAGCAAGACCCGAACGTTTACAGCAGCCAGACCACTTTCGCCACTATCATTGTAGGAGGGGAAAATGGCGGCGAGCGGAGGAGCCGCTCTTTCTCTTCGTCTCTATGGCCGCGCTGAGCGCGTGGGCGCCGCTCTTGCAGCAGCTCCGGGCGGCGCTCTATCCGCGTTGCCGTCTCTGTGGTGACTCCAGGCGGCGGCGCTCTGCACAGCGGCGGGGCTGTCTCGTTGGCCGGGCGGAGGGCGGGCTTGGCGAGCCATGGCGGCCGTGCGGGGCCTGCGGATCTCGGTGAAAGCTGAGGCAGCGGCGACAACGGCAGAACCCCGCGGCCCGGAGCCTGAGCCTATGGAGGTTGAAGAAGGCGAGCTGGAGACCATCCCCGTGAGGCGATCGCTCCGAGAGCTCATCCCGGTGAGGGACGGGCAGGGGGAGCGAAGGAGGGACCGGCACCTGAGGGGGGGCAGGGTACGTAGGGGCGGCGCTGAGGCACCTGGGGGCTGACTGTGAGGGAACGGGGCATCGCGGGGCGGGAGGAGGAAAGTGGGGGGGGGGCTGAGGGGAGCGAGGTGGCGAAGGGAGGAGGGGGGAGGTGAGGAGAGGAAGGGTGGGGGCTGTGGGGGCTGTGGGGGCTGAGGGCGGGGGGGACCGGCTGAGGAACGGGGCTGTGAGCGGGAGGCATCCGGCGGGGTGGGCTCTGAGGGTTGTTTCTTGTTCTGTGTCTTTTTTCTTACTTGCTGTCCTTAGATAAGTTCAGGTACGGTCAGGTTGAACGTGTGAAAGTGGGTCAGAGTTGATCTCCGTTCCTAAGTAGGCTTTTGTTCTGAAAACGCGTGTGGAAAATGCTTGAGAAACTAATCTCTAATTAGCTGGTTGATCGTCGTGCTTCAGCTTCTATCAAATACGTGGCCTAAGAGACGGCACCCTTCTGTATGGACTTCCTTGTGCTCCATCAGTCACCCCAAACTGGTGGTTTTGGTTGTTTTTTTTTTCCATTGAAAAAGTAATACGTTTATTTTGCTGTTCTCATATCTTTTAAATATCTGCAACTTTAAGAGAAGTTTGATACTAAGGAAAGCTGTTAGGCTCAGTGTGTGACTGTTTTCTAAGTGACTGACCTACTTTCTAGAAAAAGCCCTTTAGCCAAAATAATTATCGGAGCACAAGGGTTAACAGAACATTTATCCTTAGAGATAAGAAGGCAACATAT